GTTGAACCCCGAAAGTCCTTGAGAGTTCCCGTTCAGCAAGGCCCGCCCAAGATGCATAAGCTTCACGAAATAGGCGAGAAGTCAAGACCCCATCGTTCCCAGGTTTCGCACGAATGAACGCCGCGTCCAGCTGAGCATGCACGCGTGTAAAGTCCATCGGCTCAGGCTGAGGACCGCGCGGCACTTCCGATGGGAGCGGGGGCGGGCGTCTGAAAGCGAGGTTGTGCATCTGGGCCAGTCCTGCATGAAAGTCGAGGCAGACTGGGCTGTGAGGAAAGAAGCCAGCGCCCTCGAGGATGCGAACCTCGGCGGCGCCCTTGGAGAGCCCAGCAGATGCAACGAAGTAGTCGTAAACTTTGCCCGCGCCAGCGTGGCAAGTAGGCTTGTTGGGGTCGATGACTTGACCAACCAGGGTGCTCACGAAATGGGACTTGGCGAATTCGGAGGGCTCCATGTTCCAATCCCCCCCGACAAGGAATGGTTTCCCGCAGGTGGACCCTTCCGCCCCTATCGCCGACAGTATTTCGAGGTTGGCTTCTGAGAGCCCTTCCGAGTCGCGCATATACACCGAACAAACTTGAAACACGTCCCCTTGGGGCGCGTGAACCAAGGCCGCGATGGCCCTATGAGGAGCCAGCTCGAGCCCCGAGGGCGCCAGATGAAGCCCAAGATTCGCGCGACACAGGATAGACACTCCAGCCGAAGGGCCGCCTTCAGGCCCAGTCGTGCCAGGGATCCAAAGCGATTTGAAACCGAGGCCGAGACACACAGAGGAAGCTCTATCCAGAGCCTCTTGAGTCAAAAGCTTGTGCTCTTGGACTAGAAGGACTTCTGCATCTACGCTGGGGAGCCACTCCTTCACCGACCCCCAGGCATTACCATTGATCGACGCGACCCTGAGACGGAACGACTGGTAGCATGGAGGTGGCGGAGGCAAACAGGGGCCTCCAAGAGAAGCGCACGAGTGCCCTGGCTCCGAGGGGATCCGACCCCTTGCTGGCGCGTTGTGACAACTATTTCGATGCGAAACGGGAAGAAGTTGGGCACGAGGAGGAGGGGTCCTGACAGCCTGTGCAGGCTGTCGACCTCCCTCAGAAGAAAAAAAAAAAAAAAAAAAAAAAAACGAACTGTCACACCTGTCGGGTGTTGCAAGCAAAGAAAAGTAATCTCTCCCCCCTTCAGGCCTGCTGCTGACCGTCAGGGGGGCTCTGATTGTGCTGCTCACTGTGCCGCCCACCCGTGCCGCTGCTATCAGTCGCCGCCTGCTGCTGCTGAGCTCGCTCAGCAACGCGCGCCGCCTGTTCACGAACTCGGCTGACTTGGGCGGCGGGCTGGCTGACGTCGCTGGACGTCGCGTCGCCGCTGCCACGGGCGCCGCCAGCGTGTGAGTCAGCTGCTTCAGCGCCCCCTTCGCGAGCTCCGCCTCCAGCCGACACGGCGCCATCGCAGCCCTTCCTGCGCTTGGTGGCCATGCGCTTGAGGTACCCGTCGTGCTCGGCTTTGGCAACTGCCGCACGCTCCATCGCTTCGACGAAGAGGGGCTTGGCTGCCTTGCCGATATGCTCCTTGAAATCTGCCCGACGTCGTTCCACCTCTTGTAGATCTGAGTCCCCAATGCCGTCAGCATCGGCTGAGAAGAGGCCCCCGTCGTCGATGACGATGTTGGGTACGCGTCCGCCCACGAGGTCTCGAAGGGACAGGGTGGGCCCAGGCGTGGGCTCGGTGTCGGCCGAGGGAGGAACCACTGCACTGTGTAGCTGTGCCACCAGTTGCCGATGTTCCGTGACCATGGCCTCGGACTGCTTCGACAAATCGTGGATGAGTATTTCCTGAGCCCTGATGCCATCCTGCCACCGCGCCAGCTTCGCCAGCTCGGCCTCGAGCCTGCCGTCGAGCTTCTTGATGCGGTGATGCAAGTCGCTGACCTGGTCCTGCAGGGCCTTTGGCGGTGGCTTTGCGGCCGCAGCCATGGAGTCCAGCTGGCCCTGGTACTTGGCAGCTGTGGCTTGGTCACCTGCGCGGCGCGACAGTGCAACCAGCATCTGGAGCTCCTTGGCGTCCAAAGGAACATCCTGCCCTCGGCTGCCGCTGCCTGTGCCTTGCGCTGCGCTGCCAAGCTGCGGTCCAGGCGGGAGGGCACACCACTCTCCTGGCGGGTGATATCCAGGCGCACGAGGCAGACCCTGCTGATGAGACCACACACCGCGAGGAGGAGCATGGTGGCCGACGGTAGGGGCCTGCC